GTAAACTACTTAGAACAGGGCCTGTCACAAAGTTAGCACCATGTAAGTATTATTATTATTTTATGTTATTTATCTAGTCAGCATTAATTTCAACAGTTGCACCCTCTAATCTAGCTTCTAATAGGGTGTCATAAGCAATAAGGTCATGGGTGATGCAAAAGGAAAACTAGTGGTTTCTTAAAGATGAAAGTATAACTTGGAAATTAGGAATTTATGTCATTCAAGTGGAGGCAAGCCTCTGACAATACAGTAAATTCTTGTAGAACCAGAGTCGTTAACCTCTTCTCAATGAAAATGCATGCAAAGGGAAAGACTTTGGAAATAATAACATCAGGGTTACGGTGGCAGCACCAGCTTTATCTCTCTCTTATTGTCAATAGTTTCTGTGCTGACCATTTCCATTCTGCCATATCACTGCCTGGCAGGTATTCCACCATTCTGAAGATGAATCACTTGCAAAGACTCACTTGATTTTTTTTGTTATCATTAATCTACAATTACATGAAGAACATTATGTTTACTAGGCTCTCCCCTTCACCAAGTCCCCCCCATAAACCCCATTACAGTCACTGTCCATCAGCATAGTAAGATGTTGTAGAATCACTACTTGTCTTCTCTGTGTTGCACAGCCCTCCCTATGCACCCCCCCCACATTATACATGCTAATCGTAATGCCCCCTTTCTTCATCCCTGCCCTTATCCCTCCCTTCCCACCCATCCTCCCCAGTCCCTTTCCTTTTGGTAACTGTTAGTCCCTTCTTGGGTTCTGTGATTCTGCTGCTGTTTTGTTCCTTCAGTTTTTCTTTGTTCTTATACTCCACATACGAGTGAAATCATTTGGTATTTGTCTTTCTCCGCTTGGCTTATTTCACTGAGCATAATACCCTCTAGCTCCATCCATGTTGTTGCAAATGGTAGGATTTCTTTTTTCCTTATGGCTGAATAATATTCCATTGTGTATATGTACCACATCTTCTTTATCCATTCGTCTACTAATGGACACTTAGGTTGTTTCCATATCTTGGCCATTGTAAATAGTGCAGAGATAAACATAGGGGTGCATCTGTCTTTTTGAAACTGGAGTGCTGCATTCTTAGGGTAAATTCCTAAAAGTGGAATTCCTGGGTCAAATGGTAAGTCTATTTTGAGCGTTTTGAGGAACCTCCATACTGCTTTCCACAATGGTTGAACTAATTTACATTCCCACCAGCAGTGTAGGAGGGTTCCCCTTTCTCCACAACCTCGCCAACATTTGTTGTTGTTTGTCTTTTGGGTGGTAGCCATCCTTACTGGGGTGAGGTGATATCTCATTGTGGTTTTAATTTGCATTTCTCTGATAACTAGCGATGTGGAGCATCTTTTCATGTATCTGTTGGCCATCTGAATTTCTTCTTTAGAGAACTGTCTATTCAGCTCCTCTGCCCATTTTTTAATTGAATTATTTGCTTTTTGTTTGTTGAGGTGTGTGAGCTCTTTATATGTTTTGGATGTCAAGCCTTTATCGGATCTGTCATTTATGAATATATTATCCTATACTGTAGGATACCTTTTTGTTCTATTGATGGTGTCCTTTGCTGTACAGAAGCTTTTCAGCTTGATGTAGTCCTACTTGTTCATTTTTGCTTTGGTTTTTCTTGCCTGGGGAGATATGTTCATGAAGAAGTTGCTCATGTTTATATTCAAGAGAGTTTTGCCTATGTTATCTTCTAAGAGTTTTATGGTTTCATGACTTACATTCAGGTCTTTGATCCATTTTGAATTTACTTTTGTGTATGGGGTTAGACAGTGATCCAGTTTCGTTCTCTTACATGTAGCTGTCCCGTTTTGACAGCACCATCTGTTGAAGAGACTGTCATTTCCCCGTTGTATGTCCATGGCTCTTTTATCGTGTATTAATTGACCATATATGTTTGGGTTAATGTATGGAGTCTCTAATCTGTTCCGCTGGTCTGTGGCTCTGTTCCTGTGCCAGTACCAAATTGTCTTGATTACTATGGCTTGGTAGTAGAGCATCAAGTTGGGGAGTGTGATCCCCCCCCACATTATTCTTCATTTCTAAGAGCTTTCTTTAATACATTTTTCTTTTTTCTTGGAACATACCACTCTATTCATGGAGTGCAGTATCTTCTTATCTGAGAATATTTTTTTTCTTTTGAAAAAATGTTTTTGTTGGCCTTGTCTCTTTTCATCTCTTTTGATAGCTTTTATATATGAGATATTCCTTGTGATCCTTTTTGTCGTAAATAAGAATAAGGTATTAATCAGTTCATTTGAATCTTTCTGAGGGTATGGAGGCTCTGTGATTTGCTTTGTTTTATGTAAGCTTTTAAAAATTATTTTAATTTTCATAAAAAAATTTAATTGTGGTAAAATACACATAATATAAAATTTACCATCTTAAGTGTATAGATCATTCACGTTCTTGTGCAACCAATCTCCAGAACTCTTTTCCTCTTGCAAAATTGAAATTTAGTATCAATTAAACAACAGCTCTTCCTATCTCCCCTCACTCAGCCTGGGGCAACCAGTCCTCTGCTTTCATCTTTGTGAATTTGACTATTTTAGGTATCACTTATAAGGAGAATCATACAATATTTATTCTTTTGTGATGGGCTTAATTCACTTAGCGTAATTCCTCACAGTTCATCCATATTGTAGCATACGAAAGAACTTACTTCCTTCTTAAGGCTGAGTCTTATTCTATATGTATTTACCACATTTTGTTTATCCATTTATTGGTTAGTAGAGAGTGGGGTGTTTTTCTACTTTTGGCTATTGAGAGCAATGCTGCTATGAACATGGGTGTACAAATATCTCTTCAAGACCCTGCTTTCAGTTCTTTTGGGTATATACCCAGAAGTGGAATCGCTGGGTTAGATGGTAATTCTATTTTTAATTTTTTTGAAGAGCAATCATACTGTTGCCTACAGCATCTGCACCATTTTATATTCCCACCAACAGTGTACGAGGGTTCCAGTTTTTCTGCATTCTCACCAACACTTGGTATTCTCTATTTTTTTAATAGTAGCCATCCTAATGGGTATGGGCAAGCTGTTTGTGTATAGTTTTGACCCCTGCTTTTTCTTTCTTTCTTTTTTTTATTGAAGTGTCATTGATGTACAATTTTATGTTGGTTTCAAGTACACAATGCAGTGGTTCAACAGTTGCCATATCATTAAACCCTCACCCCCACCAGCGCAGTTATGGTCAACATAGGAAGGATCCTGCTTTTTCCACAGAAAATGATCTTGAATGTTTTTCCATGTCAACATTTTTCTAATATGATTTTAATGGCTGTATTATTTAACAGATTCCCTAATGTGGTATTTTAATTTGTTTCCAGTATAAGAAATGTTGTGCAGAATGTTCTTATAAAGAAATCTTTATGTACATTCCTGATATTTTCCTTAGTTGGTAAGGTCCTGGAGGTAGAATTTCTGGATCAGAGGGTATATATTTTGAATATGTATTTTCAGATTGCTTTCCTGAAAGGTTGCATTGTTTTATATTCCTACTAGCAGTGTGAGAGTATCATCTATATTGAATATTGTGTAATGAAATTATTTCAATGTATGATCATAAATACAAGGTCAGGAAGAATATATATCAACTGATAACAATTGTTAACTCTGAGAATAGGACTGGTTTTGAGTCCTAAGTGGTCAAATAAAATGTTAACTTTATTTTTGTTTGTCTTTTTCAATAAGAATATCCTCGTGTAATATTTGTATGAAATAAATATTGTAATTTCCTATTTTAAAATGAAAATGGATGAATGGTATACTTATTTTAACATGTATGCTTTTCACTTTGATTAAAGTTAAACCTTTTTCCTATTTATTGTATTTCTCCTTTTATGAAATATCCATTCATTTGCCTATTTTTGAGTTGTTAGAACATTTTATCTATGAATATATTTTTCCCCCTTTTCTTGTTTACTTCTAAAGTTTTATTTTATTTTCTACCCCCAGCTTGAAACTTTTCTGTAGGTAGTTATATTTATCCCTCTTTTGCTTTACAATTAATTTCTCAGTTTATATATTTAGAAAGCCCTTCTCCATTCTGAGGTCAGATATCATCTGTGTATTTTTTACTTTGTTATGTGTATCTGTGTGTTTAACATTGCACCCTTGACTTGTAATTTATTTTGATGTATATTTTCATAAGGAATCTAATCCAAATAGTTAACTAATAAGTTCCAGCACTATTTTAAAAGTAAACATTCCTTTCTTGGTTGATTTGAAATGCCACCTTTATGAAATAAATTATTTATATATTAGGTCTGGTTCTAGGCTCTTTACTAAGCTTCCGATAGTGTTACTGGGAGTCCAGGAAATGGCTTGCTCTGGCGTATTACTGCTCAGATAATAAACTGTGATTAACAGGGGTTTATTGAAACAGTCTAAGGAACTCCCTTCCCACAAGTCTCCACACACCCATTTCCCTCCGGTCCCAGCTAATTTAACAAGCCGTCAGGTGATGAGTGGGTGTGCGCGAGAGAGGCTGCAGAGCTCCGAGAATCAGTACCCGGGTATGTCCCCACTGCCTCGGTAGGCTGTGCCTGTCTGGGGCGGAAGCTAGGAGGGGCTCTCTTAACCATTCTTGAGACTTAAAAGCACGGTTTTCTTTCCCGGCAAAACGCCTAGTGTCTACAGATAGGTGCTGAGAAGCTCCTCCTCCGCCGGTTGCCGCATTTTGGGTTTGCGCGCTTGTGCGGGGAAGAAGGCGCGGGAAGAGTGGGCTCCAAAAGGCCTCAGGATAAGCCTCACGCCCGGGCATGCTCTCCGGGCTCGCCAAGGGGCAGCAGAGACAGGGACTGCGGTGCTAGGACATAGGAACCCTCGCAGGACAGAGGATCAGACCTCGTGGCCAGCTTCGCGATTCTGGCTTGCTTTACGACTTTCGACAGGTTGCTTTGCGGCTCTTCTCCCTTTCCGACTTGATTTACGCCCCTCGTCCTGTCCGTAGCCTCCCTGCGGCTCTCGCGGTCTGGACCTTCTTCCCAGGGTACCTTGCACTTCCTTCCCAGCCTCCTCTGCGTGGCCCTCTCTAAACCCTCCCTGCGACGTTTAGCGCGCAGAGATCCGTACGTGCACCGCGCGCTTCCCGAGGCGCGTAAGTGGGGAGGGGCGGCCAGGTGGCGGCGCCGCTGCGGGGCCACTGGGCCGTGGGCCCTCGGAGCCCGAGCGGAGCGCTCGGCGACGTGGGGTTGGCCTCGCGGGTCACGAGCACGGAGGCCGGCCCCCAGCGGACAGTTGGGGTGGAGGGCCCGGGCTGCCGCGGCTGCTGTGGAGGGGCGCGGGGCCGACACCCCGGCGGCCATGGGCGCGGGGCGTCGGCACCTGGGCCAGGGGGAAGGGATTACCCATTTCAAAGGAACTTGGCGCTCTGTTTCTGGACCTTTTTAAAAAATTGAGAGAATTCATGTGCAACTAAATCCATCTAAAGCGAACTGTTGAGGGGCTTTTAGTATGTTCACAGGCTGTGCATCCGTCTCCCTTACCGAGTTGGGAGGCATTTCTCACACCAGAGGGAAACGGCTCAGTAGCAAACTCTTCTTCCCACGTTCCCCTGTCCGGCCCGCCTCGTCTGCCTTTTGATTCTGTGATTTTGCCAATTCCAGTAACTTCACGTAAGCGGACTCACGGTATTTGACCTTTTGTGTCTGTTTTACTTCACTGAGCATGTTTTCAAGACTCATCCACGCTGTAGCCTGTGTCAAAATGCCACTCCTTTTTATGGCTGAATAATGATATTCCACTATAGGGATGCACCACATTTTGTTTCTCCATGAGTTGATGGGCATTTGGGTTAGCACTTTTAGCTTCCTGGCTTTCTGAGGCAAAATTTGAAACGAATTTTCCATAGTCCAGCATTTAACTGTGGGGTTGAGTGAAGTGTTTCATTGGGCTCAAATTCTCTGTTCCGCACACATCAGATGGCTGAGTACCGGGCACCGAGCGGGGAAATGTATGCACAGTGTCAGCAGAGGCCCTGCTCTGTAGTTTGTAGGAGAGTTGAGTGGGTGAAAAATACAACTGAGATAGCAGTGGGTGAGAGTTTTTACCTAAGAAAGGAAACCAGAACAGGCGATCCTCATTCATGAAGTGTGTATTTGGGAATTTCACTCGCTAAAATTCTTTGTAATCCATAAACCAATACCAGCACTTTGAAGCATGACGAAAATGGGAGTTGCCCTTCCTTCTTGTTTCAGTACTCTGCCCTGAGCGAGTTGTGGGTATATTTAGTGCCACGTTTTTCTCATTTTTATTTTTGTGTTGGTGATTTCACTGTGTGAAATGGCCACCAAGCATAGTGCTGTCCAGTGTTCCAAGTACTGTGATGCACCTTAGAAAAGACGAGCTTTTAGATAAGCTTCCTTCAGGTATCAGTCATAGTGCTGTTGGCTGTGAGTTCATTGTTAATGAATCAACAGTTTACATTAAATAATGCGGCTTATTTAAAGAAACAACACATAAAAACATAACATGGTTAAGTATTGACTGGTGATCAGAAATGTTGGGGCCAGAGGCTGTCAGGAACGTAACCCTGTATTTCTCCTAGGAGCAAATTCACTATTCATGGTGACTTTATAGAACTATCATGACCAAAGAGAATGGACTGTATAACCAATTTAATTTTCAATGGCAGAGCTCCTCGTGTGGATATTTCTCAGTCTCTGTTAACTTTTACCATTCTTACACTTAAGGCATTCATTTTTAATACTGTACTGACAGTTTCAAAGTGGAGAGAAGCTAAAATAAAGCTAAATGCTCTTTATACCATTGCTGGGTGGGAACTCTGTTAAGTGCTGGGGATTCAGTAATTAGTATATGGCCTCTGTTCTCGAATGGCTGCATGTGGATTATAGTATGATGTGTGTTTTGACATATGATTAATTCTTTTCAGAGTGTAATAAGGTGCATAAGGCTTCAAAGAGGAGATGACATTTTGAGACCTGTTCTTTTTTACTTAAAACATTTTTTTCTACTCTCTTGCAAATTTTTCTTGAAGTCCCACAAACAGCAGCATGGACACAAATGAAAATAAAGAAAAAAACTTGATATCCATTCTGCTGTTTTAGATTCTCACTATCAGAACCTTAACTCAGCAAAGTCCTGTCAGTCATGCCTCCTGTAATACATATCCAGAGTCCATCCTTTCTCTACATATCCATGATCTTTGTTGAGCCTTTATCATTTCTTCTGTAGACTGTCGTAATACAGACTAACTGATCTTTCCCAGCATTCACTGTTGACAGAGAGCTTTCTGAGGCATAAATATAATCTTAGCATTCTCAGTTTAAAATTTCCTTTGCCCTCCCATGGTTTAGAAACTAGTTTCAAGCTTTTTAAGGTGGCTTATATTACTCTGCATGAGCATGCCTTCTCCTGTCTTTAGTAAAGATAAGAGGTCAGAGAAAAGGGGAAAATTTCCTTTATAACAAGCTTCATTACCTTTTACTCCCTCCTTTCTCCCTCCACTTATAATTAGAAATACTTTTAGGTGATAAGGAAATGGATAAGAAGAAAAACATTTTGCCGATCTTGCCTACCTTCTTATCTGCTGGGTTCAACCATTTCTTGCTCACAGCCACTACTCTAATTCAAGCTCTTTCCCTTTATGCCCACAAGTCTTTTTTTGATCATATAATTTTATTTCTCTGGGAGAATACCTATGAGAAAAATTCTTGGGTCATATGACATTCTTATTTTCCAAAGAAATCAGATTAATCTCCAATATTACAAAACTGTAAAGCTTCTAGGAAATTTAGAAGAACATCTTCCTGGCCTGGGGGTGTGCAAAGATTTCTTAGACAAGACTCAGAGAGCAATAACCACTAAAAAGAAAAAAAATGTTATTACATCAAAGTTTAAAACTTCTCATCAAAGACAAATCTGAGAAAACAAGTAGGCATGAACAGACACCTGTCTGACAGAGGACTGATATCCTAGGTATATAAATACCATTAGGGTTCAAGGCCTGGGAATAACCTCTGTGGTCTTCTGCTCTACCCTCTGGACACATGGCTCCACCTTAGAGTCATTCTGTTTCAGGTATGGTAGCATGTGTTTACAGCGGATAAGTTTTATCAGCCTGTTACCTGCCAACAGTGTATGAGAGGTCTACTTGCTTCACATTCTTGCTAGCTTTTGGTATTGTCAGTCCTATTTTTAGCTATTCTGGTGGGTATGGAGTGGTATGTCATTATGATTTTAACTTTAATCCTTGAATACTAATGAAGGTGAACATTTTTTCCTGTGAAATTTGTTTATCTTCCTAATTTTTAAGTGCCTGCTCAGATCTTTTGCCCATTTCAAATTGGGTTTAGTCTTTTTTTTATTGAGTTGTAGGAGTTCTTTCTATATCCTTTCTTTATCTGGATATCAGTCCTTTGTGATTGCCTGTTCACTAGAGTTGTTTTGGATAAGTAAAACTTTACATTTTGATGTAGGCAGAGTTGCCACTTTTTTCCTTTATAGTTGCTGCTTTCCTAGTCTTGTCTGTGAAATCTTGGCCACCTACAGGTTGTTAAGATATATGTCTGTTTTCTTCTGGAGATTTTATTGTTGTAGCTTTACATTGAGGCCTATGATCCATCTCTAGTTTTTGTGAATGTTGTGAAAAGTACTTAGTGAAAATATTTCCTCATATAGATACCCCGTTGTTCCAGCAGCAGCTGTGGAAAATGCCAGTGTACTGCATCATTACCTTTGCAATTCAGAATACTGTGTAAATGATGGTTGATTTCTGGGCTCTTTTTTCTGTTCCATTGAGCAATCCTTTTCTCAGTACCAAACTATTTTAATTACTGTAGTTTTATAGTAAGTCTTGAGGTCACATCGTGTAGGTCCTTCAATTTTGTTGTCTTTCAAGATTGATTTGGAGAGTCTAGGTCCTTTGCACTTTTCATGTAAGTATTAGAACCACCTTACCAGTTTCTACAAAAATGTCTGGTAGGATTATGACTGGGATGGCACTCAATCTGTAGATCAGTTTGGGAAATTAATATTTTAAAGAATTGAGTCTTCAAATGTATGAACCCAGTATAGCTCCCTTCTTGTTTTTAATTTCTTTTAGTACCATTTGTAGTTTACAGTGCAGAGGTATTACGCATCTTTTGTTAAATTTATTCCTGAGTGTGTTTCCTTAACTGTTGTGAGATGGAGCTATCATTTTTATTGTTACTACTTATAGGATGTGCCATTTTTCCTATAACTGCTATTAAGATTTTATCCATTTTTGGTTTCCAGCAGTTTGCCTACAGTGTCTAGGTGTGATTTACTTTGTATTATTCTACTTGAGATTTGATGACATTAAATCCATAAATTTATGTCTGTCTCCCAATTTAGGAAATTTTGGTCAACTTTAAAAAAAAATGTTTTTTTCTGTTCCATTCTCTTTAACCTGTTCTTTTGGGATTCAGCTTTATGTGTTAGTTGGCAAGGGTGTGAAGCAACTATATATCCTACAAGACTGTAAGGCTTTCATTATTTTCAGGGGTTTTTTCCTCCTCCTCAGACTGTATAATTTCTCTCGGTCTATATTAAAGTTCACTGATTCTTTTTTTAATCTCTAATTTTGTATTTTGTGAGCAGGATTGACAGATGATTTACGAGATTCACTGGCCAAGATTAAGTATAAGTGTAATGAGTGTGGTTTATCAGAGGGCTTCTTGGGGGTGGGTGGTGGTATATGTCCTTCGACTTTTAAATTTTCTCTTGTCTGGCAGGATCCTGACTTTCTCCTCTTTGTCCTGCACAGCACTGTTTCAGAGGACATCCGTCATTCCTTCGCTCACTCTCGTGCCCAGAAACACTGACTTCCAGGCTGCCTCAGCAGCCCAGCGCACCCTGAGTGTGCTTGAGTCTCTCTTCCTGGCCCGCTGTGACTGACCACGGCTCTGTCAGGCTCCTACTGCATGGGGGCCACCGCCTCCTTTCCCAGGGAGTGAGTCAGTGCTGCCTTAGGCCCCCCCACCTCCTCTTCTCTTCTTCGGGGTCCTGCCTTGCTCTCCTTAAAGATTTGGGATGAGAGTTTTGAAAAATATCTCCACCAGAATTTGATGTTAATTTTTTCTTCTTTAGGCAATGGAAAGTTGTAGTAGTTTCAGTCTTAATTACTTTGGAAGAGACGTGATACTGTTTTATTTGTTCCTCTTGTGGCCTGTATAGTTTTGGAGGATGTACTGGATAGTTGGGTTTATGTAGCTGCCATAACCTTGGCTAGGTAGGAAGGCTTTCCTAATATTTTACTTTGAAAAATTTGAAGTCTTCAGAAAAGTTATACAATAAGTGCCTGTATATCCTTCACCTAGATTCATAAATTTGTTAATTTACTTTGTCTAGTTCTTTCCCTCTTTACACACACAAACACATTTTATTAATTGAATGATTTCAGTGGCAGAAAACATGGCCCTTAAACCACTACATCGTCATGTATCGCTTTGTACCAAGAGCCAGTCTCCTGCACAGTCACACCCCAAAAGTTAAGCAGCAATGTACCACCATCTTCTGATATGCAGTCCGTTGTCAGGTGTCCCTAGTTCATGGCTTTTTTCCTTCTCTCAGACCCCAGCAAGGGCCACCTCGGGGGTCTCAGCATTTAGTTGTCTCTTTAGGTTCCTTCAACCCAGAAGGTTTCACTTGCCTTTGTGTTTGTTTCGTTTCGGTTTTTGAGACATTGCCATTGAGTCCAGGCCCTGTAGATTTGAACTTACCTGATTGTTTCCCATGATTAAAGTCATGATTAGGTTGGTAGAAATACAGCTTCAGTGATGTGACCTTCTCAGTGCATTCACCAGGGAGCACGTGATGTGACTCTTATTGGTGACAGTATGTTTGATAACCTGATTAAGGTGGTTATCTGCCAGATTTCTCCATTGGAAAGGTATCTTCTGCGCCCACTACATTTTCCCTCCAAGTGCAAGTAGTTTATTTGGGAGATGATGCCAGGACATACTGGTAGAGGAGAGGGGAAGTGAGATGGGAAAGAAAAGGCAGGTAACAAAGGGTGCAAAGTCAGGCCAGTTCCATCTGGGCAGGAAACCAAACCTCATTCCACTGGGGACCTCTGGAGCCAACGTAGAACTCACAGCTCAGCCTTACCACACAGAAGGAAGAAGAACTCCAGGGTCTTAAACACCAACTCTTTTCACCTACTGTTAGAGGACTGCTCCCAGGGGTATCAATTCTCTGGCATGTCCGGCTTTACAGAAACAAATGGGCCCAGGCTGCCAAAGCAAGCCTTCAGCTGAAGAGATACAGATGCTGGCATTTGGAAGTCCAGCCAAGTGCACCGTGTTTTAAGAGTTGAAGGGATAATTAGCAGAGCATCTGTAGTGTCTGTTAGACCTGAGTACTCCAGCTTGAGATAAAAACTTATTTGTGATTATTTTTTCAGGAAATGAATTACAGGAAGCAGAAGTGAGGGAAATGGGAATTGAGGAGAGAAGGAGCATTCAGTCAGTTCAAGGGTACATATTCAGATTGGCCACCCCTTGGTAACAAGTACAGCTGATGGCTTGACCTCCTAAAGCTGTCTCCTGGGAGGATGTACAAGGCCTGCATTCCAGGGCATTCCACCCGAAGGGAGGAAGGAGAGGGATTTACCCCTCTGCTTCTGTGTCCCACTGGTAGAGCTCATTGCCCTGCAGCACCAGTTATTCCTCCAAGTTTTCAGATTGTGCATGTGTGGGCATCACGTGGGTCTCACCTAAAAGACAAGAGGGAAGCCAAGGTGGGAGGCGAGAGGCACGAGCAGGAAGTAAGGGGCCATGGGTTGTGCCCATGTGCAGTCAGACTTCATGCATGTTGGGACCACATAAGGCAGACAGGGTGGAAAAGGTGGTCGGGGCCTCAGAGTAAGGCAAGGCCAAGAAGATTTGAGATGCCACGTAAGATACGCCTGATATATTTGGATCCTACTCTTAACAAATATGCACATAGACACGCACATAATACACATACATAAACAGAGACAAAAGCTATCTCCTGCTGGTGGGGGGGATTCAGCCAAATTTTACTTCTTCCTCTGTTTTTATGGTATATGTCTAAAACTTTCTAAAATAAACATTTTAATTTTATAATGGAAAAATTGTTGTGGACAGTTTTAGAAAGGGAGGCAGAGCAGTAAGTATTTTTTTTTTTGAAGTAGAAACTGGTAAAAAATGATTCCATATTTCACTTTATGGGCAGAGACAGGATTATTCTTTTCTTTACTAAAAGGTTGAATCTTTTAAGATATTGTTTAGAAAAGAGGCAACAGGTTGCTTTTTAAATGTGAGAGGTGTAACTCATGCCTCATAAAATTAGTTTCTCAAGAATTAAAAAATATACTTCGTTTATATAGCCTGCATTATGAGTGTCTTTCATTCACTCATCTATTCATTCATTTAACTACTCAACAAACACTTCCCTTCTTGACCCCCTGCTATGTGCAAGGTGTCCTCGTAATCACTGGGGGGTGCAAAGGAGAACATTAGTACTCACCAAATGTTGGAATGCTTCTATTTCCTAGCCTCCATTGCAGTTCGGTTTGGGGCCATGTGATAATTTCTGTCTAGTGAACTGTGACCACAGGTGATCACTATCACTTCTGGCCTGCAGCTGCTCTGAACTGCTGTGACCACTTTGGCTCTTTCTACCCCTGCAGTAATGACCTTGGAGGTCACATGTGCTAGGTCACAGCTACCATGTGCACTGGATCTTGCCTGAATGAGCTGTAAAAGTTTATTGTGTTAAGCGGTTCCCCCTCCCTTTTTTTATTATGATGAAGTACACATAAAAGTTTTCATTTTAACCATTTTTAAGTGTGCAGTTCAATGGCAGTAAGTAAGCTCTATTATCTTTGTTTTTATTCAGTAACTGGACAGGTGCTCATTTGAGGCTTTGTGAATATCCTGTTCCCCAACTTTTTAGTATTCAGTGATTAATCTTGCTGGATGCTATTATCACATCATTTTAATAGGACAAACTTATGAGGTTGATCTTATTAATATACCCTTTTGCAGATAAGGAAATTGGGGCATAGAGGGGTTAAGTAATTGGCCAATTTAGGTAACTTTCCTTGTGGAGCAGAATATTGAGCCACATATGACTCTAAAATTCAAAGTATATTTTATAGCAGTGGTCAGCACAGTATGGCCTGTGGGCCAAGACTGCCACCTCTGCTGTAATTAAGTTTTACTGGGACACAGGCGTGCTAATGTCTTACGTCTGTGTTTGTTTATATCTGTGGCTGCTTCATGTAAATGTCGAAGCTGAGTAGGTAGAGACCATATGTCCTGCTCAATCTAAAGTATTTCTTATCTGGCCCTTTATAGAAGTTTGCCAACTCCTGCTTTATAAGATAGGTAGTTACATTTTTTTGTTTTTATTTTTATATGGTAGATATTTACATTTTGTTTTTATTTTTATTAAAATCATATATGTATATACTTGAAAAATGAAATAGTGCTAAAAGCTGTGTTTTGAAAAACGAGACCCCTGCCGTGCTATCCTATACCCCAGCACCACTCCTCAGAGGCAGGTGTGTGTCATTCTTTTAACCATCTTTTCCAGCATTCACACTTACATTCTAAATAATGTGCTTATCCCACAATTTCTTGATTAAACAATTTTAGACACGAATGATTGACTTATCCTACTTTTCAGTGCTGGATTATAATAATTTATCACATAGCTGAAATTAATGTTTTATGATTTAAATAGTTTTCTGCATCTTCATCATAATGTATATAAGAAAATAAACATGAACTTAGCAATAACTAACATTTATTTAGTACTTCCTATGTGCCAGGCACTATTCTAATGCAATTTTCATGCTGTATCACATTTAATCTTTTCAGAGCCCCAAGGAAATAGGTACTATTATTACGTTCATGTTTCTAGATGAGAAAAATCATTTAGAGAAATGACATGATTTTTTCCCTTGGTCAAGCATGTAGCTGGTGACAGAGCCAAAACTGGCTCGTAGAACTTGTGCTCTTAAGCATCATGTTGCAGTGGTCTGTGGAGAGGCATACCACTTGACATTCATAGATTTGTAGTTCCCTTACTAGGTAACAGACTTACAACATGTAAGTTTGCTGAGGCACAGCTTTGAGGCCGGGGTGGGGGGGTCAGGCTGTGGGTCAGCCGGGGCCGGTGCTTCTGTGAGGGTCATTGATCCTCTGATGGTCTATACATTTGCAAGGTCTCAGTTCACGGCACTGGCTCTCAGACTTGAGTTTGCATCAGAATCACCTGGCGGGTTTGGTCAACAACTGATTTCTGGGTCTCACCTCTAGTTTCTGATTTCTCAGGTTTTGGGCATGGCCTGAGAATTTGCATTTCTAATAGGTGATGCTGTTAGAGGCCAGCATCTGACTGGGATCCAGAGGCATACCAGTCCCCAGGAGATGCCAGTGCTGCCAGGAACCCACTGGTCTAATGCTCTCTTCTTCCTGAGTGATAGGGGCCTTCTGTGTTTCTTCCTTTTGCTCTTGAATTGTTTTCTGTCTGTAAGTCCTCACCCTCCAACTAGCTTGTTAGCTCCTGGAAAGCAGTTGAGTTTCTGTGGCTTACATTGCTTTTTTGACCCCTAAGGCCAGGGTCCTTGCTCATGTGGAAGTCAGCAATAAGTTCATTGCTTTCCCTTGATGTTTCTGTAATTTTGACTTTTTCAATTATGAACATTATAGTACATTCTCATTGTAAAGATCCTTGAGTAGCACCCATTACCCTAGCAAAACTGCTAGCAGAATGGTGGAAGCAGGCCCTCAAGGCTTTCCAGGGGCTTGTAGGGTGGGAGCTCGGCCCTGAGGAACAGGCCTTCGTTGGGGCAGTTCACGTGTGTGAATAAGGTGACTGGCAGCATGTTGCATGTGGTCGCTTTGACCAGAGTTTCAGTGGAGGCTCTTGCCTTTTACCTTTAGCATTCTTTGAGATTTTCTTCTAATCTTCTGTTTATGTAGAGGTCAGCCAGAATGAACATGTTTGCGACTGAGGAAACAATTCTTGGAGGCCGTAACAGCCGGCCCTCAGCTGCTGGTGGCGACTCTGTGCTGTGCTTTGGACAGGTAACTGGTTTTCATATCCCGAAAGAAGTGGGTTGTAGAGCACTGCTTGTGTGTAAGCTGTTTATTGTTACGATTTTTCCTTAGAAGCACTATTTGGGAGTCTTTGATGCTTTTTGGGACTTTTGGGACTTAAGCATCAAAATAAGGGCATTTTGGGACTTTAGCATCAAAAGACTAATAGTACTGGGGATTACATTTAGACTTTAATTTCATGCATTGTTTGGATCAGTTACAAATTCATATGCTCTAACATTCAAAGTAAAATGGAGACTAAGTGTGAAAAGTCTGTCTCCTATCACTGTGACATTTCACCCAGGTCTCCTTTCTGGAGGCATCCAAAGTTTTCGGTGTCATATTCTTTGTAGAGATATTCTGTATATATAAAAGATGTTCTTGCTTTGTCCACCCAAATTCTGTCTTTTTTACCAGAGGTCTGTTTCTCAGTTATTTATTTCATTTAAATAGGGCAGGTGGGAAGCTATGGAGGGAAATCATCAGAGCAAGTAGTAGTGATGTATCTGTGTGCAGGGCGGAGAGGGAGTTGAGTGGGAGAGGTGCTCACACTGTGGACGAGCACTGCCCCTGGCCCTTTGCCTGCGTACACATCATACACAGACCGGGAGGCACAAGGCTTTATTCCCTGGTTCTGGCTTGAGGAAATTTTGTCAGGATGGTAGTAACATCTGAGGCAGTGGTTCTCAAAATGTGGTCCAGTGATCCCGGGGGTCCCCAAGACTTTTTCAGAGTCTGTGAAGTGAAAATTAATTTCATAATAATAACTAAAGTACTGCCTGCTTTTTCACTCTCTCTCATGAGTGAATGATGGAGTTTTCCAGAGACTGCATGGCATGTGATGATGTCATTGCTCTGACGGCTAATAGAATATGTGCCTGAAGTTTGCCAGTTTTAATTTCTAATATTGGTAGACATAACCCACACAGACAAAAGCTCTGAGTGTCTCAATACTTTTTAAGAGTGCAAAGGATTCTGGAGACCAAAAAACCTGGAGACTTGGTGATGTAAGGAAAGGCAGAAATGTGGATTTGGTTTTCCTTTCTGGATTGTAGTACCAGTACACAGCAGAAGAGTACCAGGCCATCCAGAGTGCTCTGAGGCAGAGGCTGGGCCCGGAATACATAAGTAGCCGCATGGCTGGAGGAGGCCAGAAGGTAGGAGAGTTTATGCCTGAAAGGTGGAGGCTGGCTACTCGGATGACCTTGCCAGCTTCTTCTCTGGGTCCTTGCGGAGTCACAGGGCCTTTTGTTCACTGTTCCTGGATGTTTGCTAGTGTCTGTGGGAGGGGAAGGGGTCCCTCTTTCATTGCCATCTGAGTGACCCAAGCATTGTCTTGAGACTTCCATGCCAGCCATCTTAGGAATTCTGCACTTTCTTTTCAAAACGTTTCTTTTGACATTTGCTTCTGATTTTAAGGTCTGAGTATGCTTTTAGTTTTCTATAACATGTCAACCTGAGATTTGTACTTTTTTGGAAACTGAGTTTTGGAAACTGAGGTGAATGGCTATTCTCCCCGCAGACAGAATATTAGTTCTAACTGGCTCCTTCTGGAAGATCTTTGACATAAGTTCACTGAGAATTTCTCTGGAATATTTAAGGGGAGTTTTGACAAAAAAGGTGGTAAGGAATGAATTAAGTAAATTTAAGTGTGATAAGGAGTTTTAACAAGACTTTTTTTTTTCTTTACTTATATTTCCAGGTGTGTTACATTGAGGGTCACAGGGTAATTAATCTGGCCAATGAGATGTTTGGTTACAATGGCTGGGCACACTCTGTCACACAGCAGAATGTGGGTGAGTATGTTTCCTGGCAGTGGTGACATCTTCCTTTCCCTACTTTGTCTAATTTCTGATATGAGGCTGCAGGGCAGGTACACTTGGCTGCCAGAAGGAGAAAGATGGGTGAGGCATAGGCATTGGCATCCTCTTCACCTGGTTTTCTTTCCCACTCCTAGATTTTGTTGACTTAAACAATGGCAAGTTCTACGTGGGAGTCTGTGCATTTGTGAGAGTCCAGTTAAAGGTGAGGGTGTAAGAGGTCTGCTGCCTCCAAGGCTTGGGCGGGAGGTGAGAGAGCGTGGGCAGGTGGGGACGTCTGTTGCCTGTGCCCAGCCATGTTGGGGCGCTGGCCTCATTCCCTTAGGATGGTGGTGCTCAGACATTCTAGGCGTGTGTCCCCAGAAGAAGTTTGAAAAACTTTCTCTCACACATTTTTAAGTTAACACCTAAAAGCTTCCCACATAAATATAAATACAGGTATCCCTCACATTCCAGAAGTTTGCCTCATGCCATTTGCTTTACAAAAGGCTCACATTAGTACCTGTTTTTGCTAATGGGAAAGAAATCTGATGAGGATTTTCCCTTCTACAAAAGCAAAAAGCGAAAATAGCATTCACCATTTGTTGTCAGCAGCCATCATGAAGACAGTGGGCACGCCAGGCAGGAAGAGGCCCCCAGCCTCCTTTCTGGGGAGCCACACTCAGCACCTCAGCATTGGGCACCCAGAGCTTTGAACTGCGTCTGTGAAAATCTGCGCTCTTATCCCGATTTAGTTGGTGCCTCTCTTAGCAAGGTGTGTCTCAAGGGATCAGAAAAGCCAGAGAGGTTATTTTTTAGATTTGGAAACACTCGAAAATACCTCTGTATAAATGAATGGTAACCACGTCTTTGCTTTACACTGTTAAGGTTTATGAAAGGTTTGTAGGAAAGCTCCACTTGGGGATGGATAGTGGGGAAGGCATGCAGTGGCAAAGGTGTGTTTTCTGGCATATTGTACAATTTGACATTCTAAAGGAAGTTTGTTACCTCTTTTTAAAAGTACCAATGGTTTCTAAATAAAGAGGATTAAATATTGTCATTCATTTAAAAAATACCTGAGCAAGCTCTTTGGTTTGAGCAAGCTATTCTTAAATCACCAGAAATTTTACATGGTTTCTTCTGGATCTCATATTTCCATTCCGTTTACTCTTTGGCTCTTATCCTAACATATGTTTATGATCGAAATCTTTTATTAATAACCTTATCTATCTCTGCCTCTTTGTGTGTGTGTATAAAAATAAACTTTTTTGATAAATTTCCAGTGATCTTAAGGCTCTAAATATTAAAAAATTTCTTTTGAGTTACTATTACAGATATTAACAAACAGTTGACAACATAACTACATCAAGATTTTTATACTTAATAGAAATAAAATTTATGGAAAAGGAATTCCTTTTTTGAAAGTGCATTTTTTAATGAGGTGGATAAAACCGTTTTTTTCTTTCAGCCAGTTTATATGCCCATAACTTAATATTACTTAGTCTTAGATAGAACATCCAGCATTAAGTCTATGCTGACTTATTTTTGTAAATAGTACTGAAAAGCCTTATTTACGTAGATAAATAGGAATGGAGCCAGTTTTGTTGTAGTGCCCTTCATTTCTTTGAATGCTTTCTGAGTTATATTCCAAAAATCACAGAGTGCTATCATCAAACATTATATTCAGTTCTCTACCAGCTAACAACTTGATCAGGTCCACCTTCACTTTTGGCAAAAGCCAAGAAACAGATACCACCTGACTTGCAAAAGGATTTGCTCTCCAGTCATTAGAGTTTTTTAAATACAGTATTTCAAGTGTTCCTTTTGTTTGGTGTCCCAAAGGTTTTTATATCTTGGGGTGATGCATCTTAGTAAGATTTGGAGTGGGATAGATATATGCCTTTTTGTGTAGAAGAGAAGTGGGAAGACAGTTGTCTCGAGGCACATTTCCAGGCAGATCGGGTTTAGCAAATAGTCCTGGCCGTTGATGCTTTTAGAGCTGCATGCCCGCTGGCTCTGTCGCATGGCCCTGGGCTGGATGTGCCCAGTTTGAACATGGCTGCTTGAGGGGAAGGAAGGCTGTGCAGCTTTTCATGTGAGACCTTGACCTCCTCCTCCACCAGGATGGTTCCTACCATGAAGATGTGGGCTATGGTGTGAGTGAGGGCCTCAGGTCAAAAGCCTTGTCTTTGGAGAAGGCCAGGAAGGAGGCAGTGACAGATGGGCTGAAGCGAGCACTGAGGTAAGCACATGGTTTGGAGTCTGACCTGCTTCATTTCAGCTCTTGTTTCAGAGCTGTTTGGTTTTGTTTTTTTTGAAAAGGTAGCATGTTCACATGGTTCAAAATCAAAATAACATCTGTCTCACTTCTGCCCGTGTCCCTGGCTGCCCTGCTTCCTTTGTCTCTTGTATTTTCCCAGTGCTCCTTTAGGTTTAGGCCTGCCCTTGTGGGGAACAAGTGGTAGGATTCTAGTCTGTTTTGTAATTGATTTCGCATACCCAACCTCTGCTCATTAATGTATCGTGGAGATCTGTCAACCTGAGCACATAGATAGCATCCTCATTCTCTTTAATACAACCAAACAGTTCTTTATTAGGGGTGTGCAGCAGAGTTAATTTAGGTACATAGAGCAAGGTTTTTAACCTTTAACCAAAGGGCATAGATGCCTGTGAGAATTGAAGTGAATTGAATCATCAGAAAAATACATGTATGAACATGCACCAAAAACTTGCAATCCCATAGCCTTTGGGGAGCCTTCATAGCTCAACTAAAGAACACGAGTCCTGGAGGATTGTGTCAGCCCACCATTACTTGGCAACTGGAGCACTCTTTAGAAAAAAATCCCTGCTCTGAATTTGAGTCCCACGTCCAGGAGGTGGCTAATGGGGCTTTGCGAATGGGTTCCTGGTCTTTCCATACTCACTTCCTCTCCTGGAGGGCAGGGGTTTTGTCTGCTATGGCCACTGCTGTATTCTCAGAACCTAACATGGTGCGGGAACATGGTGATGCTCAGTGAATATTTTGGAATGTATATGAGGGTCCATTTCTTCTGTCGCAGTTGAGAAGCAGCTTCACAAAGGTAACTGTTCTCTGATGCTCACATGTAACAATTCTTAACCTTGTCTCCCCTCCTCCTTTTTTTCTTAACCTTAGAAGTTTTGGGAATGCACTGGGAAATTGTATTCTGGACAAAGACTACCTGAGGTCACTGAGTAAGCTGCCACACCAGGTATGTTAGGAATGGCTGAACGGAGTGCAGTGCAGTGAAGCTGTAGTCCACTTGTGTCATGGGTTGAGTACTTGGGGATGGAGAGAGAAGGGAAGATACAGCAACTTAGAGGGTCTGCAACGTGTATTTGGCTTCTCTGAATATTACAGCCAGCAGAAACCAGCCAACTTACTTTATAGATGAAATTGAAACCTAGAGAATCTGTGCTGTCTCTCTGTAGAGAGAGCTGTGGTTGGGAATGGTCTGTGGAACCTCAAGAGGAGCACATGGCTCTTGGTAGCACCTCTGTCCTTTCTTAGAAATACTCAGAACCTCATTTGTTCAGCCCGCTTTTCCATATTAGCCCTGGTGTCTTTAAGGCTCCCTTCTGCCAGTGCCTCTCGCATGACTGAGCAGTTTGCCTTTGGGAAATGCAATCTGCAGTTCAACACCCCTGGGGTTGCACTCGACCTGTGCTGGGGTGGACATAGAATGTCCTGTTGCCTGGTGGAGTGGGGCTGCTCTCTGTGGCGTTCCCGGGGAAGATGCCCTGTCTTGTACTTGAGGGATGCTTTTGGTGGAGCCTCTGATAGAGGTGTGTGTCAGTTGGCATCTGTCAAATCTCCATTTCTTCCCTTTTTAAAAATTCTTTTTATACATTATTGGATTAGGTTGCTAATGTCTTGTTAAGGATTTTTTACATCTATGTTCATGAGAGATGTTAGTTGTAGTTTTCCTTTTTTATTGTGATAAAAAATCCAAATTTGCTATTTTAGCCATTTTCAAGTGCACAGCTCACTAATGAATAGCTCTCTAGAATTTTTTTTATCTTCTGGTGTTGAAACTATATACCTGTAAAACAACTCCACCTTTCCCCTTTCTCCCAGCCCTTGGTAACTATCATTCTACTTTTTGTTTCTATGAATTTGACTACTTGAGATACCTCATGTAAGTGGGACCACGCACTTTTTGTCTTTTTGTGACTGGCTTATTGCACTTAGCATAATGTCCTCAAGGTTCATGTATTGTTTAGTATGTGTCAGAATTTCCTTCCCTTTTAAGGCTGAGTCATCTGTTGTGTGTATATATCACATTTTCTTTATCTCTTCATTCGCTGAAGGACATTTGGGTTGCTTCTCTCCCTTGGCTGTTCCGAATAGTGCCGCTGTGAACCTGGGCGCACAAATACCCCTTTAAAACCCTGCCTGCAGATCTTCCGGATGTATGTCAGGAGTGGGATTGCTCAGCATACAGTAGTTCTATTTCTTACTTTTTGAGGAACGTTCATACTGTTTTCTATAATGACTGCACCAGTTCAGCCAACAAACAGGGCACAAGGGTTCCAATTTCTCCACATCCTTGCCACCATTTTTTATTTTCTATTTTTTTGATAGTAGCCATCCTGATGGTTGTGACACCTTATTGTGGTTTTGATTTACATTTCTCTGCTGATTAATGATCTAGGTAGTCTTTTCTTGGCCATCTGTATATCATCTTTGGATAAATGTCTATTCAAGTCACTTGCTTTTTAAATTGGGCTATTTGATTTTTTTGTTCAGCATGTAGGAGGTCTTCATGTATTTCTGTTTTTAAGTTTGTTGTCACCTCTATCCATTTATCTTGGCTGTTTGCATTCCCATGATAATTAGTGATGTCAAGCACCTTTTTATGTACCAGATAACTGTTTGTATGACTTCTTTGGAACAATATGCATTCAGTTCTTATGTCCATTTTTAAATCAGATTGATTGTTTTTTTGCTATTGAATCATATCAGTTCTTTATATATTTTAGATATTAACCTGTATTAGTTTTATCATTTGCAAATATTTTCTCCCATTTGGTATGTTGCCTTTTTGTTGTGTTGATGGTGTCCTTCACTGTGCAGAACTTTTTGGTTTGATGTTGTCCCAATATTAATTTGAGCAGGAAATATCTTTCCATTTTATTTGTATCTTCTTAAATTTCTTTTATCAGTGTCTTAAAATTTTCAGAGTAAAGGTTGTTCACCTTCCTCGTTAAATTTATTCTTGGGTATTTTTTTCTTTTTGATGCAATTGCAAATAGGATAGTCTTAATTTCTCTTTCTGATTGTTTTTAGAGTATTGTCTTTGACTTTTGACAGTTTGTAATGTATCTTGGTGTGAGCTTCTTTGGATTTATCCTAAATGTGTTTTTTTGTATGGCTTCTTGAATTTTATGTCTACTTACCTCAGATTTTGGAATTTTTTAGCCATTATTTTTGCAAATAATATCTGCCCCATTCTCTTTTCCTGACACTCTTTTAATAAGTAGTATAAGTGTTCTGTAAATCCCTTAAGGTCTTTATTTTTGTTCAGTCTTTCTTCTTTTTGCTTCTTTGACTAGATGCTCAAATGACCTGTTTTCAATTTGGCTGATTCTTTCTTCTGCCTGATGAAGTCTTCAGTAGAAGCCCTCTAATCAGCTTTTCAGCTCTTGTATTTTTGAGCTCCAGAATTTGTTTTTTTATAGTTTGTTTTTGTTGATCTTCTCATTTGGTGATGCATCATTTTCATGATTTCATTTAACTATCTATTTGTCTTCTTTTTTAGCACACTGAGATCTTTACTACAGTTATTTTAAATTCTTTGTCAGGCAGCTCATAGATCTGCATTTCTTTAGGGTCGATTTTTGTTTTATTTTGTTCCTTTGCTTGGGCCATGTTTCAGGTTTCCCTTATATGTCTTGTGATCTTCTGCTGAGATTTGGGCATTCAAAAAACAACCATCCCTCCCAGTCTCTAAGTACTGGCTTTGTGCAGGGGAAGACTTTTACCTGTCAGCCCAACTGGAGGGTTCTAGGACCTCTCAACATTTTTATGATCTTCTTTGCTTCCTGGCATCTGACTGCAGAACTGTTTCTCTAATGTGCTTTGGTGCTCATCTCTGTGTTTAGTGGCTTTCAAGCTCTGCTGCCCATCATCTCAGTGTTCTGAGTCAGGTGAGACAGAAACTAATGACTTGGGCAGGCCCGATGAGCCAGAACGTTGGACTCACAGTCCACTCTTGTGCTTCCCTCCTGCAGAAGCAGCTTCAGTATGGGAAGGTTCTTCTCGGTTGCGTTGCTCTGTGCCAAGTAGGGGCAGCCACATGGTTTTTCTTGGTTTTATGTTGGCCTGAGAACTGTAGCTTCTCAACTGGTCATTAGAGTTCTTACAAAGTATTCTACTCTGTATATTGTTGTTCACTTGGTGTCTGTAGGGAAAGGAGAGCCTGGAGTTTCTTAGTCTACTCTTCTGCTGACATCACACTCCATTTCTTTTTTTACTTTAAATTAATTTTTAAAATGAAGTACAATATATACACAGGAAACTGCATAAATGATAATGGCATAGCCTCATGAATATTTAGAAGTGAATTTATTTAAATAAATTTATTTACAAGTAGATATGTTTAACAGCTATTGACTCCTAGGTAGGAAATATAACATTACCAGCACTCCTGAACCCCATTTTGCCCCATCCATACACTACCTTGATTTCCCCTTTTCAAAAGTAATTACTGTCCTGACTTCTCTATTCTGATTGCCAGCCTCAGAGATATTTTTTCCTGTTTTAGACTTTATATAAGTGGAAATATAGTTATGCTTTATAAAAAAATCATTGAGGTAAGGGGGAAATTGGATTAAAGATGGCAGCATGACAGGTGAGACAGAGACCTCCTCCTAAAACCACATAAAATAAAAAATATAATTAATACAACTAATCCTGAAAGAGCAATAGGAAAGTAGGCTGCACCAGACTGCATGCACCTGGAGGAAAGAACAGACCTCATGAAACAGGGTAACGTACCAAAGCTGTGAGCCAGCGGGGCCCAAGCCCTTCCCCCACCCCAGCTCACCAGCGGGAGGAAGAGAAACAGAGCGGGGAGGGAGTGGAGGCCTGGGACGCTCTGGTAACACAAACCTACATTGCATGGTGCTCTGGTGATTAGTGGGGATGAAAAGCTAAGACAGGCAGAATACCTGGAGAGATGGAGATTCCAGCTGCTTGTGGAAAACAGGGACCCATATCTGGCTGAGCAGGGCGGGCAGTCTGAGAGACTTCCTAACAACGAGAGGGCTGCTAAAGGGGCAAGGATTGCACAGAGCTTACTGCTCAGGAGAAAGGACAGGGAGACAAAATTGTCTGGGTGCACTCTGCCCAGCAGGTTAAACAATCTTAAGGCACTCCATCCCCCTGACTGGCTATGCACCTCCAAGGCCCCACACTGTGATATGCAACTTGCTGCGCCTTCCTCCCGGCTAGTCTCTGCACCTAGCTCGCAAACTGGCAACCCCTGCCTTGGCATCAGGCAAGCCAGAGGGAAGCCCCGTCTATGGCAGCTACAAACACAAAGCATAGAGGCTTATACCTGTGTGTTCACCCACTGGTTCTGGCAGTGGAGACAGGCATAGCAGGCGGGAAGCAGGAAACATGACTTCCCTCCCTGCAAGGACCAACATCGCTCCCCTGTGACCCGTGACATTGCTCCTGGGGCTGAGCAGCCCCAGAGAGTAGAGCTTCTGGGCACTAGAGGATATCACAGACAAATATGAAATGTCAAAGGAACCTGGTTCAAAGCAAAATCTCAACACCAGAGAAAGGCACAAGTGAGACTGAATTAATAAATATTCCTGACAGAGTTTTCAAAATAAAAACCATAAACATGCTCATGGAGGTACAGAAAAATATTCAAGAACTCAGGAGTGAATTTAGGACAGAGATCCAATCATTGAAGAGCACAATGGAGGGTATTAAAAGCAGATTAGATACAGTGGAGGAGATGATAAATGAAACAGAAACTAGGGATGAAGAATACAAAGACGCTGAGGCAGAGAGAGAAAAAAGGATCTCTAGGAATGAAAGAATATTGAGAGAACTGTGTGACCAATCCAAACGGAACAATACTCATAGTGGTTCCAGAAGAAGAAGAAGAGAGAAAAAGGGATAGAAAGTATCTTTGAAGAAGTAATTGCTGAAAATTTACCAATCTGGGGAAGGAGACAGTCTCTCAGGCTATGG